TTAAATTTTTGAAGATTGTAGTTATCAGAGAAGCAAGAAAACAGAAGGAAGTTCTACAGACAGGAAGTGCGAGATAATACACTGTTGGAGTAGACGTGGCGGTTGCATTTATCTATTTCAACATTAAACGGGTGAGATGCCAATTTAGTAGCACGCTTAAATTCATGTAGTCGGGACACCAGAGGAAAAAGCTCGTCAGTGTAGTTGCCATGAAAATATTTGTAGAAAAGACAGAGGGAAGCCACGTCATGTCGGTGAGAAAGTCAGGATCGATAACATTACAGATCCTTCTTTGGATTTTGTCAAGAACCTCAAGATGAGTAGCTGGAGCACCAGACAAGATATGACAACAGTATTCAATGCGCAAGTGAACGGCAACTTAAAAATAATGAGAAAGGAAAAGAGTGAACATCTACATGGTATTTCGTAATTGTTGAAACAAAGCAGCGGTCTCTCATATGGGGAGAACTTGAAGATCGCGATGACGTTGATGAGGAAGAACAGTGGTTCCATTATAATAGTGCTCCTCCTCATACGGCTAATGTTACCATGGCATGGCTCCATGAAAAGTTTGGGGAGAGTCTCATCAACTGCAAAGCTGAAGTGAAATGGGCACCTTATTTGCCTGACCTGAACCCTTTACATTTCTTCTTCTGGGGATTCCGCAAGGACAACATTTACTATGGTAATCCACACACCATTGCTGGATTGAAGACAGCCATCACTGAGAAGATTCAAACGATCACCCAGGAAGAATGTGCACGCGTTATCAACAACTTTGCATTCAACGGTGCCTTCAAATGAACAGCGGATATCTGGAGCATGTATTCTAGGGTTCTTCTTGAAATTTTTGGTTCATGTTTGAGACTAAATGATTGCAGATCCTAAAATGTTATCTTGTTTCCTTTCAATAAATGTAATTTCCATTGTCGTCACTTGCAATTTCACTTGTCGTCCTTGATTTTTGGCCGATCATTTTGCTTCAAAAATTGTGCAGACAAAAGGAATTGTCCACATGATAGAAGATGATGTTTATATTTCTAACAGGAAAGGACAACACTCCTCTGCCCAACTAACATGAAATGTTAAAGAAAAGCGAGCTGCATCTCCCCCAAATTAAGTTGAAGTTTATAAAGGCGACAATGATAGAAATCGTGACCTGGTTTTGTTGACACTGGCAAATGTTGAATGCCCGATCAGAGGTGTTCCAAAAATGACAACATGCAAGAAAGCTGAAAGAATTAGCTGGGATCCAGAATAAAAAATTAAAAATTTGAAGAATATATGTAATTATGGATCGTCCTAAGTCTTGTTCTTGTATTTTTCATCAGTACATTCTTTGATCCCTCGAAAGGACAGAGTTATCGTTCAAAAGCGACAAACGGTTCGGCGAGCGACAAACAGTATGGTTTTCGCTGTTCTAGGTCCACTGCTGAAATCTTAACTATCATCACGCATAGAATCGGTGAAGCGCTTAATAATTGAGAGCGATCGCTTAGATATCTCGGAGGTCTTTAACAAGGTGAGGCAAAGGATGTTGCTACAGAAACTCGCCAGATATGGAATCTCTTGGAGAGTTGTCATCATGTTATTCCTATCAAGTCGGTCTATGTTGTTAATGGCCAGTCGTCTGAGGCATATGAGATCAATGCTGGCGTCCTTCAAGGTTCTCTCCTCCAGCACTGATAGAGTTCAAAACTGATTACTCGGCCTTGTGAGTAAATTCTTTCCACCCTGCAACCTCTATACCACAGACAAAACGATGGTAGCCTCTCACTTACACTTTCGCTATTACTATGGCAATTGTTCAAACGAGTTACATTCCTTAGACCCACCAGTTCAGACCTTCACATCTCGGACTCGCCACGTCATGTTCACGGCGGCAAATCATCCCTATTCCTTTCGTGTTCCTTTGTTAATGAGTAAGTTCCATTCATTGTTTGGTTTAATCAATTCACCCCAAGCAAGGGAATTAAGCCACTAAAACACAAAAGTGTTACCGAGTGTTAGAGAATATGAGAAAAACTACTATTAAGGAAAGAGGACAATAAAAGAACAAGAATTTAGGAGACACAAGATAACGACACTTATCCTACAGACTAAGCATTATCAGCTCCTTACTTAGTCTTTCGCTATTACTATGGCAATTGTTCAAACAAGTTATATTCCTTAGTCCTACCAATTCAGGCCTTCACATCTCGAACCCTCCCATGCCATGTTCACGGTGGCAAATCATCCCTATTCCCTTCGTGTCCCTTTGGTAATGTGTAAGTCTCATTCAGATTCTTTTCCTTAATCATTTCACTCCAAGCAAGGCAATAAAGCCACTAGGATGCAAGGCGGAGGGGTACTGAGCGTTAGAGAAAATGTGAAAAACAATTTTTGAAGATCAAAGGCAATAAAGCCACTAAGATGCAAATGGGGGTTACCGAGTGTTAGAGAATATGAGAAACAACTACTATTAAGGAGAAGAATTAAGAAGAAACAATACAACGACTCTTATCCTAGAGACTAAGGATTGTCAACCTCTCACTTACTCTATCGCTATTACTATGGTAATTTTTAAAACGAGTTACATTCCTTAGACCCACCAGTTCAGACCTTCACAGCTAGGACCCATAAGCCATGTTCACTGTGGCAAGTTATTCCCATTCTCATCATGTTCTTTTGGTAAAGAGTAAATTTCATTCAAATTCATTTGTTTAATCAGTTCACTCAGGGGTTACTGACTGTTATGAGAAAAGCTACTATTAAGGAGAGAGGACAATAAAAGAATTAAGGAGACACAAGATAACAACACACCCTAGAGACGAAGCATTGCCAGCCCCTCACTATTGCTATTATTATGGATTCATGTTCACGGTGGCAAACCATCCCAATTCCCTTTATATTCTTTTGGTAAAGAGTAAGTTCAACCCAGACAGCTTCTTCCCCAGAACTGTTACTTTGTGGGACAGGCTCCCTAGAGGATGCTTCCTCGACCATTACCATCTTTTTAGGCCCAGAGTCAACCGTCTATCCTACATATCCTCATAATATGCACTTTTTACTTCCTCTTTCCACCTTTCTTACAACAATCTCACTCTGTAACCCTCTACTTTGAGTGGTTGTTGTCCGCTGGATGGGAAGGGCATGATGAAGGCACTGTTTATATCTGTAAAAGAACAACACTCCCCAAATTAAGTCGGAGTTTATAAAGGCGAGTTGTGAACTAAATAAAAAAAATGTCCAACAATCACCTCAGACTCGTAGATGAGTCTAAATATTCCCTGAACAAATACGTAACGTACATATTTGCAAGCTCTGATGTCGGTCGTCCTCTTGCAGACCCTGTTCGAAAGCATGGAAGCTGTTGTGCTGAAACCAGTTGAAGATCGGCAACATGCTCTACCAATCACCCGCGGGCAGCTACATGGTCGTGGAGCCATAAAGACGATCACCCTGTTAGAGAGAAACTGGCATTTGTAGACAACTGGCAAGTTCATCTACACGCTCATGTAAGTCGGTGGTAAGAGTAAATAATGACATAATCAAGATGTTAATATTCCACATCATTTCAAATAGAAGATCCGGAAGGAAAACACCCATCAGTACTGGAAAGAGCAATAAAAGCTACTGGACTCGAGAGAACTGTTTTTCCTAAAAATATGTTTTAAGGGAAGGATTTTATAAATTCCAGTCGAAAATACTACTGGCTACTCGGTCAATGATTGCCAAATGTTTCCTTGTAGAGAAACGGCTAATATTACCATTATCATTTTCATACAGGTGTTTTACAAATGTAATAGCAAGAGAAAATATTGGTGGTTTTTTAAACTTGAATAAATGTACAGTACAGATACATGTTTTAATTCATAACTAATTATTAAGTAAATAAACTGACGCATACTTGAATAAACAAAACGTTCAACAGAAAGCCTGAATGTAATCCAATAAACAAAAAGTTCAATAAAAGATCGGGGTATTTAAAGCCATTTTATTCTAAAAAAGATGACAGTCAGTGCAAAACTTGTGAAAACTCTATTAACATTAGTCTCTTCCCCTCCGCTGAAAACCTAAAATTCCTCCATGGACCCCCTCCACCTACTCCTGATTGAAAATCCCTGTATTAAATAAAAGAAAAAGTGAAACCCATTCATTTTTAAGACATACGACCAATTACTGACTAATTTTTTGTTGCAACAACACCAGACGCAGCTTGTATAATACCTAGTAGAATATCATGTGGATGATGATGATGATGATGATGATGATGTTTCCTTTCAAGGGAGTAAGAGCTTCTACTGTCCCAGACCAACTATCACGGCATGTCCTCCCGAATCCAGAGACAGGGTGGAGACCAAGACAGTTGGTAGAGAATAAATAGCTGTGGATAGGCAGACTCAATCGGTACGTCAGTGAGGTTTTAATTTCAATCCCTCTTCTGCAAGATTGGCTGCTAACCAATACAGTCTGGTAGTGGGTAGAAAAAATGGCTTCATGCATTTTTTGAAAATCATTGTGCAAAAGTGAACGCAACAGACTGGGCTGGAATTCAGCGTTATGCTACCCACACATACAGTGGTATAATGACAAATCATCTTTAACTCATTAAACGGGAAATACCATATAGAGTATAGTACGAGTCTTTATGGTGATTTTCTAAGTGTAGCTTAGCTGTGGCCCGACGACGAAAGTGCGGAGCACTCAGTTAGGATCGAACTCATTTCTCAGTCGTAGTTGATCTAGCAAAACAAGCTTTCTAACATTTACACTACGTCAAAGTGGCCAAAATTTGCCAAGCGTATCTTAGATGTGGCACAAAGCTGAAAGTGTGGAGCAGCCAGTTAGGATCGAACTCACTACTTAGCCGGGATTAATCTAGCAAGACAAGCTTGCCAATCATTACCCCACATTGAAGTGCCCAAGTGCGGATAATCGTTAACTGAGAAGACGATTGGGTAAAAAGTCCTCTTTGACACGAGTTACCTCCCTCTACATATGATTGTAAATATCAATTCATGACTGCTTTCTTCAGAGCGACGGAGAAGGGAAATATCTCAAGAGCCAGTTTAACAGACTCTATCTATTGTATGGAAGGTATTACTCATGATCAAAGACACTGCCGTTGGATACAATTGAACATTTTATTCACACAACTGAAATATGTTGCCATTATAAAGATAGGCTGTAAAGTAGTCTGTTTTCATTGGTCTATATAAATTTAATTACAAAGTTTCATCTTTCTCACCCACTTCTTTGCTCGCTTTTTAAGAATAGAATGTTTTTCAGTGTGTTCGTTTAGAAATCAACCAGCTTTTTTTTTTCTTTCTTTTTCTACTATTCTATTCGGTTTCATGTCTGTCTGCCGCTGTCAAGATAACTCCTTCTTTAGCAATTGCGTCTGTCTCTCTAAATGTGGCTTCTTGCTTTTTCAGGCCATTATATTTCCTCACGGCCCCTCTTCGACATTATTTCATCTATTGTCAGAGACTGTGTTAGTTGCATCTGTTTGTCTTTTGTCGTTCTGTTTCCCTCTCCCTACCTACCTGTTCACCTGAGCCTGCCTCTCTGTCGCCACTCTATTAACATTAGTCTCTTCCCCTTTTTTTCAAAGTATGCTTCCATTGTATTCCAACTTGTTTACCACACACATTTTCCCTAACATCACCCACCCTTCCTTTCTTTATATCAACTCTCTCTATCCCTCTCTTTATGACATCACCTCCCCTCTCTCTACCTCTTTTCACCCTCTATCTCTCTTTTTCTCTATTTCACCAATACCTCTCTCTCTCTCTCTCTTTATTTCACTACCTTTTAATCGCTCTCTTTATCTCATTACCCTCCCTCCCCACTATTTTTCTAGCCTCCCTTACTTACTTTATTTCACCACCCTCTTTCCCTCTATTTATTTCATCCGCCTCTTTCTACCTCCCTCTATCTTTTTCACCCCTTTTTCTCTACCTCTTTTTCCACCTGTTCTCTCTCTACCTCTTTTTTCTCATTACCTCTCTCTACCCGCTCTCTCACCACCCACACCCTCCTCTTCTCTTACTGCCTACTCTCTCTTCCTCTCCCATCACCCTCCCTGTCTCTTTCGTCTCCTTTTTCTCATTGTTCACGGCTCCACTAAGACGTGATCACGTGCCTGCTCACCTGAGCACGTATATACACCGCCGCCACCTCTATGACTCCGACTCCATCTTTAAAATCATGTGTACAGTTCACCTTTCTCCCTCTCTTTCTCTCTCTCCTCTCACTATCAAACGCTATTTCCTCCCACATTTTAGTTCTGCGATTAACCCCCTCCCCTCTCCACCCGTGTTTTAAATAAGTTTTGGGCGATCGAACTTCTTCACGTTTTCAATTGTCTTTTTATTAGACTGCAACGAATCCCCCAAACTCATTGCATCTACAAATTCTTAGCGCTGAAAGATGTGCACACACTTGCTTTCAATAAGTAATCATAGGCGTAAACTCTTGATAAGTGGAGGATGGGAAAAATTAAACCTACACTGCTTACAGGCATCTCTTCTCCTCAAATTTCATTAATTTGTAGATAGTTAAATGTTTACATAAAAATCAATAACACTCCGAATACGAGTTATTTAAACGATCATTTTCAACTTGCGAAAAATTATCATTAATTTATAGAAATGGTTTATCGTAATAGCTGAGCCAGAAAATCCAGTTGGATCATTTTATTGCGTTCCATTGCATCTTAATAAAGCAGTGCTTCTCAGAATACTAGGGACGTGAGGGTGGCGTATGGATAGCGGCTCGGCGTGAGAAATATTCTCTGTGTGTCATGTGACTTCGGAACGTAGGCAATCATGGCTCTCCACAATTTCCTGTCCTTCATAGCACTTTTTTTCTTTTTTCTTTATTTCTCCTAACTTTGTTTTGTCATCCATTTACACAAGCTCACTAAGTATGTTATGCGTTGTTTTTCTCTGTCCCTCTTGCCCTCAATCTGTCCTGTGAGTATCAGATTTTCCAAGCCCTCCTTCTTCGACTGTCTTTTCCTGATGTTAAGTATAAGTTTCCTTTTTGTTTTTATTTTCTCTAAAACTCCGTCGTTGCTCACATGTTCGGTTCACTGTATTCTCATCATGCTTCAAGTCATCTTTAAGGAGACTGTCCAGTATACGTTGCCATATAGGAGGACTGATTTCACGTAACAGATCAATAATCTTTTCTTTGTTCGGAGAACCGAATTCGAATTCATGTCGACTTCGTTACATTCACTTCATCCGGTTTGCCAATCAGAGTAACCTACAGGGAATTTCGAACTGAACACTTTATTCAATTTACAAGAGTAGATTGTTCTCTTTGCCCTTAAGGATTAAGTATATCTCGTCTAGTTCTTATTTAACGTTGCTCAGGTATAATTCTGAGTGGAAAACTTAAACCTAACCTGTCCGTTGATGTCTACTGCTGCAGCTTGTCACGCTTCAAGGCACTCACATGCCTTTCTTTATTAACGTCTCCCCATACCGTCTTTATTTCAATGCTAGGCTTACTGAGGAAATTCTCATAGCCTAGAACAGTAATTGGCAAACTGCGACCGGTTTGGTCTTTCTGAATGGCGCTCTTAATTTCATAAGCAAAGTAACGTTTCTGAAAATTTTATTTTGTTTCGTTCTCACTTGTTCACTCACACACTCTTTCATACATAACCAATGATTAAGTACAATGTTTTACAAGGATATTAGCACATAAATGACTGTAAAAACCCTGTCTGTTTTTCTAGTTGCTCATATCTGGCGGAAAAGAGTTGGATTCATAACTTTCCCAAGTAATGAACTCGACTGGAATTCGATCTCGGTTCAACGATTCCATAATTGGAGCCACAATCCAATACTCCACCGTTCCGCTCAAAACTTATTAAAATAAAGAGACAATGGATTTTAAATGAATGGCTTACAATGTGCCTTCTTTATTTTATGGATGATAGAGATATTTGATAATTTCTTTAATTAATTTCATTTTCGATGATTTAATACAGCCATGGGTAAACTGCGGTGCAGCCGGCGGACCACATACGGTCAATTCGGTCTTTCTGAATGGTGCAATTAATTTCATAAGCAAAATAACGTTTCTTAAAATTTCATTTTGTATCGTTCTGACTTATTCACTCACACACTCTCTTATACATAACCAATGATTAAGTACAATGTTTCTTGAATTTTGTAAACTTTCGGGGAAACTAACTTTTTAAACCATTGGCAATTTTCACTAAGGAAGATCATACATGTAAATATATTTTTCTTTTGAAACAGGAAACGTTCATAAGGATTTCTTCTTGGAAGAATAAATGTTTTCATTTTCAAATGAATAAATTAGAAATAAATTCCACGTAGCGACATCTGTCATCAGTGATAATATTATACCAAGACTTCAATTATTTTTTTAATTATAAAAAATATTTTCTAAAAAATATAACTTTCCTATCACTTCTAAGGTATATGCTTGCGCATATGGCTTTCTGTAGTGAAAGTACATACTAAAAAATATTAAAATGAATCTTTTTAGCCGTACGGCCCACCTTCTGATGAGCAAGAGATCATGCGGCACACTATTCGAAAAATTCTGATATTTTCCAGACGTCTGACTCTCTGATGTTCGATTCTGTCCAGTATTTTCACGTCATTCCACGGGTATTGATGACTAACGTTTTTCCTCCATACATGATCAGCTATGCCTGTTTTCATCATCTCACTCCTAATTACAGCTTTTCGATGTTCCTCCAGCCTTACTTTTAGGGTCGATTAGTTTCATAACTCCTTCAACCAGGCTTTCAATATGCCCTGTGAGTGTCAAATACTCTAAGTCTACTTTCCGGATGTTCAATGGCTATAGAATAACTGAGAGTTAGGACAAACAGGAATAGAAGGAAAATTGAACGCTAGTATTAAAAAATGAATATGTGCCTAGTGTCTTGTAGGTCACATCTAGTCAGGCGAAACACAGCAACTCGACACAGCATCGATCCCACAACTTGTCAAGAAGACACCCGGAGAGATGTTGAACCATGTCACCTAGACAACTATCTTCAGTTCCCTGATATTTGCATGTACATGATCTTGAGTGCCAATAGGCCTCTCGGTGATATTCCATAAATTCGAGCTCAGGCTCATATCGAGCGATCGTGGTGAATATAAAATTTGATCGAAGTCTTTAGAATGTTCCCTAAGCTAACTTTTGGGTTCGATGACACGGCACATTGTGCTGCTGGACTAAACACATTGGTGTTGGTATATATGGTGTTTTTATCTCTTGAACTACTCTTCAACAGCATCCTGGGTATGACGATAAACTACATCCGCGTCCAGGGTAAGACGATAAACTACATCCAACAGCTTCCCTCTGTCTTTTTTACAAATACTTTCATGGTAACAGCTCCGAGGAGCTGCTTTCGCTGGTTCCCAAACTTCATGAATTTAAGTGTTGGCATCTTGCTCTCACCCTTTCACTGTCGAAACTGTTAAATGTAGCCGTCTCTTCTACTCCAATAGCTTCATGTCACGCATCTTTCGCCTGTGGAACTCCACCCCCTCTTCCTGTTTTCCTGATAGCTATAATCTCCAACTATTCAAATGTAATGTCAATCGACGTCTCCAGATGCCCTGGTCTATCACCTATCCTTCTCTTCATCCTTTCCTCTATCACTCCTAATTGCTCTCGCTCCAACTGTCTGTAACCCCTTGCGTGCTAGTGGCTTTCCGCCTTCTTTGGGGTGAAACGCATATATATATATATATATATATATATATATATATATATATATATAATCCAGGTAGAACTCAATGTCCAGGACAGAGTAAGAATATAATATAAAAAGGCTCAAACACGAATATTAGTGTTTGAGCCTTTTATATTTTTTATATATATATATATATATATATATATATATATATATATATATATATATTTCAATTTCTTCACATATATCGCTCTCAAACTCTTCATATCTATCTACCTATCTCTCTCTCATTCATCATATTTATCTATCTCTCCCAAACTCTTCATATATATTTACCTGTCTCTCTCAAACTTTTCATATCTATCTATCTAATATATTTTAGTAGTTCTTTCTTTCTTTTCTTTCTTTCTTTGTATCTCAGTTTAAAATAAAGAGTAAGCTTCATTATTCTGAGCTTTACTGGAATCTTTTAACATTTTGTTTATATCTTTACCTTTAGAGAATTGTGAGAAAAAAACGATTACAGGCGATTATGTAAATCTATCCAACGATGACAAAGCATACCAAACCACAGCAGATTTCATTATCGGCTCGAATATTTAGATTCAACGTTTTTTGTTTTTTTTTACTTTTGTTCCCACATCGTTTTTGTCTGAAATTTAGATGTGTTAATATTTAATGATTTTTTTAGAATCCTCTTTATATTAAAAGCAATACAAAAAGCGAAAATTGCAAAAGTACATGTGGAATTATAACAGGTTATTTTAAAACTTCCTGCCAAGTCCTTGTGGGGGTTGTAAAAGAAAAGAAAAATGAAAAGCCGGACATTGAATATTAACGCCTCAAAAACCTGTTGAGAAAAAGCATCAGATAAAAATGAAGGTTATTTTTTCAAAATGCGAATTCATTTCAGTCTTAGACAAAAATTACATAAAATATTTTCAGTATTTTCCATTCAAATAAATTATTAATAAAAGAAAGGAAATGATTCGTAAAATCATATAGACTGATAGTGTATCTGTCGTTATGCTCCATATTTACACAATAATGGATGAATTTTGAAAAAAATTTAAAAAAAAACATATCTGTTCAATGATGTTGGCTCATATTCTAAAGTGTTCTTTAAATTCTCGGCAGCAAATTAATTTTTCAAGCCAGATTATTTTCTTTTAATCTGGCCTTTTTTAAACTCATATATAGTATTTGTTCTTTGATTTCTTTCCCGTCTATTATTAAACTAGGTTCTTTTATTCACTAATCTGTGGTCCGTGACTATTTTATACGCCAATGTGTCGTCTGTTTCTCTCTTGTATCCTACTCTTTGTTGTCCGTGTTTCTCTTTTATCCGCCTCACTATCGTCCTAGTTTCCCGTATAGCTGCCTCTTTGTCGTCCGTGTCTTTTTTATCTACCACTCCATCGTCGACATCTATCCCGTCTGTTTGTCTTCCGTGTCTCTCCCGTCTCTCTGTCGCCCGTGTCTCTCCCGTCTCTCTGTCGCCCGTATCTCTCCCGTTTCTCTATCGCGCGTTTTCTGTTTCTCCCATCTCTCTCTTCCCTCTCTCTGTCGCCCGTGTCTCTCCCGTCTCTCTGTCGACCGTGTCTCTCTATCGTGCGTTTTCTGTTTCTCCCATCTTTCTGTCTTCCGTAACTTTGTTGTCTGTGTCTCTCCCGTCTCTCTGTCGCCCGTGTCTCTGGCATCTCTCTGTAACCCGTGTCTCTCCCGTCTCTGTATCGTACGTTTTCTCTTTCTCCCATCTCTCTGTCTTCCGTAACTTTGTTGTCCAGGTCTCTCCCATCTCCAAATCATCCGTGTTTCTTCCGTCTCTCTGTCGACCGTGTCTCTTTCGTCTCTATATCATGTGTGTGTCTCTTTCCCGTCTCTACATTGTCTCCGTCTCCTTAGCTATTTCTAGTCGTTTATATGTTGTTTTATTGGGGGGGGTCAATGTCTCCCCATACGTAATCGCCGTTAATTTACTTAATCTCTTTCTAATTTGCTATTATTTTCTTCTTTGTGAAATCAACATAGTATATATAATTTTAAAAAAAGAACAAACAACCAATCAATTCTTGCTACTGTTCCCACCTCTGCGACTCAAAAAGAATACGGGACATGATTGAATGAAATTGAGTCGTTCAATTAACGAACCAAGAAATAAAATCTTTTAATAAGTTACGAAAAAAAAGAGGTAACATTTCATCATTTTCTTTCTTCATGGAGGCGTCAACCTGAAGAAATCTAGCTGGAAACAGCACAAGATTTCTTTGTTTTGTGTAGCTTCTCTTTTGTTTTACACATGACTCCTTCTGACAATATCAAATACACAAACGCTTTTAGACTTACAGGTGGGCGTAAATTTACACACGCATACACGCACCTCGTATGCACTTTGACGTGAATGCAGACAATTATTTTTTCTTTCGTTTCTTTTTCTTTTTTTTTTTTAATAAAAAGTACATTGAATATATTTCGGTGTCATTGGAGAACACCGTACCACTTGCTGTCAGTATATACCGAGATATTTAATACACAAATTTCATAATCTATAAGCGTTAATTAAAGATAAAAAAGAAGCAAGAAAAATAAACAGGTATTCTGAAAGTAGAACGTGCATGCTGACACACACTAGAAGCACATTCCTTTTAATAAAGTCACCTGAGCATATCTGATTGAAATTCAGTCGAAGCTGCATGCTGCAGGAAGATACGGGCAAGTGCAGTTTTGTGCGCATGCGCGTTGCAATGTATGTTCATTTTGCCTTATCGCCAGGTTAAAGTGATGGGACAACGAAGTTCAGGTTTTTCTTCTTTCTTTCTTTCTTTTTTTTTTTTTTAAGGGAAATTGATTTTTGCCGATTCTAAATCTGTCTCGCGATTTAGTAACTTTTGTTTTTCGACAATTGATTCCTTTTAGTTTGTTCTTGTTTCTATTTTTTCTGCTTTTCTTTTTAACTGTACGCAGATGTCTTTATGGAGGCAGATCAAATTCTGCCGTATCAGGTATGAGGTGGCACTCACTAGAAAGAAGTTGAGGGATTATATTAAAAACTTAAGATTAAGAACGAGGGTGTGATAGACACAGGCAGGGCAAAGTCAGTATATCTCTTTCTCTCAATTTCTTTTTATACTAATGTTCAGCCAATACATGCCCCAAGTGCAACTCAAGGTAGAGTGTTACTGTACGTTGTATGGGCCTAGGGGTTATGCGGGAAAGATAATGGTTAATCCTAGACTTGAAGAGGTCAAGATCCCAGTGATAGGGAAAACATCCAGCCGGGAGTCTTTTTTACAAAGCAACAGCTCTTAGGAAGAAACTGTCTGAATGAAACTTACATTTCACGATACGATAGTAATGGGGATGATTCCCCTTACGTACATAGCATGGTGGGTCCCAGTTGTAAAGGCCAGTTGTGGTGAGACTAGGGAATGAAGCTCGTCAGAAGACATGCCATGGAATAGCGATAAAGCAACGAGAGGCTCGCAACATTTCGCCTGTCGGAAAGCAGTTATTGGGTAGAAAATAATTCATTATCCACAAGGCTGCGTAAACGCTTTTAAACTGTATAAAAAGACAGGACTATAAAAAGCAGGACTGGTATTTTCTTAGGAAGAAGCTATCAGGGTGGAACTTCCTCCTTACAAATGAAATATGAAGGGAATGATTCACACTTGTGTACGTGGCATGGCGGATCCCATTTCCAAAGGTCAGGAGTGTTGAGACTAAGGAATGTAACTCGTCAGAACACATGCCATGGAAATAGCGATAGAACTCGCAATGTTTCGTCTGAGGAAAAGGCGTTGTGGATGAAGGATGTAAGTGATAAAGAGAAAGAAATTGGGAAATAAAATACATTTCAAAGAACTGAAAAGAAGGAAAATTCAATCTAAACTTTGTCTGTCATAATCTGTATCTTGTAACGCGATTATTTTCTGTTGGAAAAGTTTTAAAACTAGAGTGAAGATTAAAAAACAAACAACCGAATAAAGATACAAATGTTTGTCACATCTACATCTTAAAAAGAAACAAAGTAGTTTTTTCTTCTTCTATGCACCCTTGTCCTACATGATGTTGGCAATCATGGCTCTCCACAATTTCCCTTCATTTTATAGCTCTCAGTAAATGTTAGCTTTTTGCTATCTCTCCCCTGCCGAAGCACGTTAGGTAGGTTATTCGCTGCTTTCCTCTGTCCTTCTTGCCTTCAATATTTCCTTTCAGTGTCAAATTTTCTAAGCCTCCTTTCCTCATTATGCACCCTATAAAGTTCAACTGTCACTTTCTGATATTATGTTCAAGTGTCCATTTTTTTTTTATTTTCTTTAAAACTTCGTCGTTGCTTACATAATTCGGCTCATGGTATATTCAGCATCCTTCTGTGGAATTACATTTCTGTTGTCTTAAGTCTATTCTTCATCTCTGATTAAATATTTCAGCATTTACTGCCATATAGAAGGATTGATATTACATAACCGTTAAGTAGTCTTTTCTTTGTTTTAACTATATTTTCTTATTTCTAACACTTTACTTAGCTTTTGGAAGTCATCTTTCTCTATCCCAATATACGTTCGGATTTCAGTCTCGCATTTTCCATCCTCTGTTAAAACACTTCGTACATATTTAAATTTTTCCACTTGATTTATTTGGCCATAACATATTTGGAATTCGGATGTTTTGTTCTATTTTTTTTGCTGACAACTCTTTCCTTACAATTGAGGTTTAGTCGTTTCTTCTTGCTCTCCTTCTCTAGGAGTTCCTGCATTTTCCTTTCTCTGTCTGTTTTCAGAACTGTATCATCTGCATATCTAATATTGTGAACATTGTGTCCATCAACAAGTAATCCTGGTAGGAGTTTTAATTCTACGAGAATTATTTCACTGTAAAGGCTGAATAAATCTGGGCACCGAGAAACCACCCCAAGAACATTCAAGACCCGATAATCTTGATACAGTAGCTCCCTCTACCAAATGGTGATAAAGAGGGCTTTGGAATTATTTGAATATTGGAGAAACAGATAGACCTGTGTTTCCTAATCTGAGCGATATCGCCCGCAGGCGGACAATTTCAACTGTTGGGTGGGCGATGAACAACTGAACAGAATATTTTGAGCCATTGGAAATTTTGGTGGGCGATATAGGATTTTGAGCATTAAAAATGTATTTTAATACATGCTATTTGAAAAAATATTCAATGAAGTTATGCAAATAACCAGCATAAAAAATGTAAAAAAAACAGGAGGCTAACTGGAAAAAAACATGTGACATTCTTAGATAAGATATAAATATCCCTGCAAACAACAAATATTTTGGCATTTTCTATAGTTTTGGGAAGGGTCATTAATATTCAAATAGTTATTCATGTGAAATAACATTTTTAGGATATAAATCAGATAAGGAAAGATCAAGAACAAAAATAATACTTGCTGACTTTTGTTGCTAGAAGTGCTTTTTTTTTATAATCCTGATCAAACGTTGTTTCATTTTTGTCAACACTCGCAAGGTTAACCCAAATAATAAAACTAAATTATATATATTGTTTTCAATTGTCAAGATTGTTTTTGTTTGTTCTTTAATATGATAGTAGCAGCTACATCAGCAGCAGCCGCATGAGTCAGCGTTATTTGTTACTTTCCTTTGGTTTTTTTTTTTTTTTACTACATCATAAAGTCAGTTTATGAACCAATAACAAACTTTTACCAAACAATTTTGGTATACGTTTGAATATTTACGATACAGATGGGCGGTTAAGACTATTTCCATGTGAAATTGGGTGATGATGCAAAAATGGTTGGGAATCACTGAGATTGACTTTTTAGAAAAATACATAAATAATAATGTTCATGTTTATAATCCTGGCAATATCCCCATATTAAAAACAAGAACAGAGATTATAATTTTCCAGTCAACATATTTTAATGAAAATTCATTTCACTTCATCCAAAACGCTAGACCAGCTTTTTGTGAACACACACGATTAAATAACGCAATTTAACTAATAAAATATGAAAAGCCCTCAGAACATTGATCACCTTTCTCTTCCTTCCATGATATTGATTTGATTTCAATAAAATCCTTTGTGTTGCAGCTCAAGGATATTGAATCGAACAAAACTGAGTGTTTAATGCGTTGACAATTGCTGTCGTTACCCATAATTCTGTGCACTTTTTGTCAGCCAATGCAATTAATGACAATATAGCTGAACTTAACATATTACCATATATGTGTGCTATATATATAGGTGATACCCAGCAATTTGTGTTCGAAGGTCGCATTGACGCGTAAAACTGACAGTCATCTTACAGTGTTGATTACTATGATTTCTCTCACTCTCTCTATATATATATATATATATATATATATATATATATATATATATAACTTAAAGGTAAAGAGAATCAAGGGGGTAACTTTATATAAGTAAGAAAAAAAATTAAATAACTAATTATAATAAGTAATTATAAAAAAAAGCAATATATAAAAATAACATAAATAATAATAATATTAGATATTTATAATGATAATATAAATATTTTTATTTATAACGATGAGAAAAATATATATATATATATATATATATATATATATATATATATATGTATGTATGTATGTATGTATGTATGTATGTAAATATGTATAAGAATAATAATTAATTAAAATATGTAATTACAGAAATAAACATAAAGATGAATATAAAATTGAGGAGAATAAACTTATGAATATAGAAATAGGAGAAGTAATATTATAAACATAACGGTATATTTATAGAGAAGAAATAAAATTTAAAAATAAATTTATGCCAAGAATTAAAACAATATCAATAACAAAGACGAGATAAGGGGGATAACTCTATGAATTGTTAGATTAAATTGAATGGTTAGATTAATTTGGATTATCTGCAAATTTATATATGCGATAGAACGCATGTAAGGATTTGTATCTATATTTAATTCATAATATATATGAATGGGATCGGATACAGATTAAATATGGATCGTAATTAGACAGAATGTGAGAATAAAGAACAAATAGAAAACGTTTATAAATCTTTCACTTTTATTAAAGCTTCATCAGAGAATGACATATTGAAAAACATTTCTGCATCTGTCTTTATATCTGAGATGAGGTAT